TGAAATAACTAGTTACATGAACTGGTACACTGCACTGCAGATTATGCTGTTCAAGCACCTAGTGGATATACTAGATTCACGACATTTCATACTTGCAAAGCATCTACCTAAACACTATAAACACAAATTTGATTAGATTAGGTAAAAATTACCACATTTGAAATTGGCTAAAAGTATCCAACAGCATAATTAAAGGTTAGTTGAAAAGATAACTAATTCTTAGCCGAAAGGAAAGTTAGAGGCTAGCCAAAAATAATAAAATATAAGCATAACATAGCAGAATAAGAATATATCTAAAATGACAAAAGCAACAAAAGATGGCGAAAATAAAAAAACAACACAAAAATAACATTTGCCCAGAAATATTTAAAACTAGGATATAGCAGAATTGCAAAACATTAGCCGAAATGATAAAATGTAGAGGTAAATAGCAGAAAAATAGAAAAAATAAGAAATCAGCAACAAAAAACTTAAAAAGCTCAGATGAAGGATGTAAGTGCTTTTTAATCAAGTGCTTTGACAGCTTATTCTTACTAATGATTCTCACAGTGAAGAAAAGTGTGTGCTAATAACATAACCATAAAGGCAGCTGTGCGACACAGCGGAAATCGGGGTTTTCTACTGCAGGAAACTGGCAGCAGCTCTGGCACGACCACACACTGTTTTATCACAGCCACTATGGTAACAGGCTTAAAACATGGTAAATTTCCTGGTATAATACTATGCCCCAGAAAATAAACCACACGGAGCAGAAGCTGCTGTGAAAGTAAACCAGAAGCGTGTGTGTGCGCGTGTCTGTGTGTGTGACGACAGAGGCTGGGGGGGAGTGGGGAGGTGGCACCCAAACCTAGAGACTTGAATTGATCTATAGCTCTTTGCAAGAACAGTGAAGGTGTCAGGTTTGGGTCGGTGGGTCGTCTGTCTCTGCTGATGTGTTCATGAGGCCAAGTTTGCACTGAGTTAATTCAATGGTTGTGTTTACCACGAGACTTGGATTTTATGAAATATTTTCTTGAAAGTCTTGAAAGAAACAACTACTACTACTATGCTTCATACTCCTGTTCTTCTAAAGAATGGTATTGTGCTACTTGTACAAAGGCATGTTGTGAAAGTTATGCGTAAAAATGGCTCAATAATATAATTGTCATCAAACATCTACAATGTCCGTTGAGATTTTTATGTCACTCATGACAACCATGTCTTGTTCTAGAACATCCTTAGTGTAATTTTCACAATTTAACAATTATGAACATGTCTGAAGAAAAATGATTCAAATCAAATTACCGAAGCACGAAGGATTTAAGAGTCTCAGGTTCTTATAAAACAATAAAATACCAGATATGATCATGAGCACGTATTCCTGTAGAGCAATAAAGTTTTAATTTAGAGTGTGTCCACATGCATCAGTGTGTGGAAGGGTGTGTGTATACTATAAGTTTAAGTGTGTGAGGGTCCTGCCTGCTAAAGCTCGCAAACTTCAGACTGGCATTCAGCCCGTTCGTTGAATCAGCACAATCTCACTGATGTACCATCAGTAAAGTAGAGGTTTTGTCCTTTTGCCAAAATAAAAAAATAAATAAAAATTCTTACCCTGCAGTTTCTGCATCACGTTGGCAATGTCCACAGAGATTCGATTCAGGTTCCATGGTGAGGCCATGCTGTCTCACTGCAGCGATGTGATAAAGGTGGGTCACAGGAGATCTTTTACAGCAATCCTGAATGGGACATCCCCTCTACCCTGTCCACTCCCTCTTCTCTCCTCTCCTGTCCTTTTCTCTCCTCTCCTCCTCTTCTCTCTCTCTCTCTCTCTCTCTCTACTGTTAATTTCACTGCAGGACCAGACCCAATTGAATCTCAGGTTTCATGCAGGGACAAGCAGGTCGACTGTCCAATAAAAGCACTTCTTCCATTCACTGCCTGCAAGAGAGAAACATGTTAATGAGGTTTCAGATGATTATGTTACTACACTACACTATTTGTCCATTTGACTTTTGAAAATGTTATAATAAAGAAAAATGAATAGGAAGTAAAATTCCAGGATTTTACCTCAATAATGTGAATATATGTATAAGGCAACATGACAAAGGGACTTTCAGTGTTGTTAGTGAACAACTCAATTCATACAGTTAAACATAATCTAGTTGTGAAATTAATTATTGCTTCAAAGAACAAGAATTTGGTGCAGAGACATGTTCACCTTTGGTTTTAATCACCTGTTCTTCAACCGTTTAATATCATATGGACAATAATCATTTCAGCATTTACGTTGCTGTACCATACTTGTTTACTCTTTTTATATTTATATTTATTATATTATAACTTTTAAATGTGCCTTTGTTTACCAAATGCAATAAAATCAGTTGGTATATACACTGAAATATTTTCTTTCAAGGGTTTAAGTAAATTTCAAGTTATCCGACCTTCACAATTGTTCCTACATGTGGTACTAACACCACACAGTATAAATGCATTTCATTTTACATTCACTCTAAAATCCTCTTGTCAACTTTGCTTTTTACTTTCTCTATGATGTTGCACAAATCTTGCACACTCATCTCTTTCACATACTTCCCATGGTCATGTTCATTGTTAATGTACTCACGTACAGCATATGCTAAATAAATTCTGTGTTAAACATGTAAAATGTTGGGTTTAACAAAATATCTCCATTTTATATACATATCAGTTTATCCCATTGTGTTATATCTTAAACTAACTAAAATATATGATTTAATATTATATGACTATACTGATTAATAATTAAAAGAAATTGGTTAATTTACATGAGTGAGGAACCACACACATGTTTGAGAGGGAAAATGAAATGTTTTACATCGTTCATGTTAGCTTAATTTTCAGCTATATGTGTTATTTTATGATTTAAAAAAAGGAGGGTCTAGTGTGAAAAAGGTGGGGAAAATACAGGAAGTAACATACAGATTATACCAGAAACACAAACTGCGATAATATGAAGCTAAATTTAAAATACACGCACTATATCAAACAATATATAATTCAGTTTTCAGTATAGACTTTGTACAAAGATAACAATTTGTTTGTATCAAATTTTTCTATCACAACTGAAACGTCATCTTGTCAAGGTCCAAAGTTGTTGAAGCTATCATTAGAAACGTCATCTCAGAAAAGGTCCAAAGTTGTTGAAGCTATCATTAGAACTACTTTAAGTTAGTAGTTAGTACTACTTTTAGTTAGTTAAGTTGAAATAAAGTTGGCTCTGCATTCATGTAAATACTTGGAGGGAGATTGTGTGTTTGTTTGTATACTTTTAGTTCGTTAAGTTGAAATAAAGTTGACTCTGCATTCATGTAAATACTTCTTGGAGGGAGATTGTGTGTTTGTTTGTCCCACAACTAGCCTCGTATCTCGAGAGGAAGTCACTAAATACCACAAAAAGCAGAAATTTAAAAACGACCGTTAGCCCTGCTTCGGCTAAACGCGCAGCACACAATAAATCAAGCTTAAATTTGAATGTTTAAGTCTCACCGCTGTGGAACTCTTGCAGCATCCCAACTTTTTCAGCCTGAAGCGTCTGAGTTAGTGTGAATGTAGGTGTGTGTTTGAGTGAGTGAGAGAGAGTGTGATGTGTGTGTGTGTGTGTGTTGCCCGGTTGCCCAGGGTAACGGTGAAACTGAAACATTGTGGTGTTCGGAGAAGTTTCGAGACCACAAAGTAAAAAAGTAAAAGAACGCCACCGCAACCAAAACGAAAGACGTCGTGTCCTTATGATAGTGACGTAGTCGAACACACATTTTGAATAATTTTGAATTTCTTCTTCTTTTTCATTTAATGTATTCGTTGTTTTAAAATTACGCCGATAACTCAATCTACGAACATCATGTGTTTTCCATTAAAATATTAGAGAAATCACACACATAACGAGAATTTTGAATTTCTTCCGAGAATTTTGATTTTCTTCCTCTTTTCCATTTATTGTATTCGCTATATTTTGAAATTACGCCGATAATCCCATCTACGAACATCATACGTTTTCATTAATAGGGAAATCTATAACACGCTCTATGTCTTTTTCACAATAAAATTACCAAAAACATTTACATAAGAAACACAACATTTAAATAACAAGATAATACATACAACAATAATAAGCAGGTGTAATTTCAAGGTTTAGCTAACTCAATAATAGGTAAAGGTTTCCACAACAATGAATATTGTAGAAAGAGCAATACTTATCAAAGATACAAGCTGTACTTAGCCAAAATACTGTCCAAAAGTGTAATTAATATATAGACAGGTTGATGTTGTCTCATGTTTAAGCCAAAAAACAAGTGAAAATAGAAAAAAGAAAAGAAAAGAAAGTGCTTACAGTAAGCTACATATAGATAAGAGCTATTTAGATATTTCATGTTTAAACGTATTTTGTTTCTACTGTTTTATGGTGAACGTCGTAGGTAGAGCTAATGAGTTCATATTAGTGTTCTTTTACTGCCACCTGCTGGACATCTTTGTTGTGTGTGTCTGTACTGAATAATTAGGGCGTTAACCTAGTACAAAAATGTCTAATAAGTATGTATTTCCAATTAAAATACATGAATATATTACTTTCTACTGGGTGGAGTTCATCTGAGCTGCGGGGCTGCAGAAAACTGCGGTGTTATCAGCCTGAAACACTGAGGTCAGGAATGAAGTGGGAACTGCAACAATTGAAGGAAATCCCCATTGAGAACAAGGGCCTGATAGACTGTCCTGTGGAGGGCTGTATGTTCCTGCTTTATTTTATACAGAGGCCTTTGTCAGGATTCTTAGAAACATTGCCAAGAAATTGTCTGACACTGTATTTATATCGGATTTATATATTTTTTTAAATAAGTTATTAATGAACAGACCTGTCTTTATAACATAGCACTGACATAAGGTGCCTTATTTCTCTACAAAATTGGTGCTGACATTTAGGAAATGATGCAAAAGGAAACAACCTTGTTTCCCAGTGTAATGTCCCACACAGATAACCAATGCACTTGCTAATTTTAAAGCCAGAAAGGGAAGGAAGCATGACAGAAACGTTTCCGCCGTAGAAAACACTGCAGAGATGGGGAGAAAAAGCTCAGTGTTAGTCAGTCTGCTTACTCTGAGCCAGTGTGGAGCCTGAAGACCACTCCATGGTGGAACAATGGCCAACAACGAAACACATCCTTTTTTGGAAATATTAAGTTCATTTAATCTAGGTGAGTGTTTCTTCTTTTGGTTTTTGGTGATCATAAAGAGACTGTTTCACTGCTACACATCATATTATTACTGCACTAAACCTTTAGTGAAACAGGACATGACCTAAATGTGTCATATATTGGTTCTGGATAAATAGGTGTTTTCTGCATCATTTCTGAATATTATCCAGGTTCGGAGCAGTTACATGTACTGTATACACTGAGAACAAAATATGTTTGAGTGATGTACAGTATATTAGTCATAAACCACCTCTGTAATATGTATTTACCCAGATCATATTTAAACTCTTCTTATTCCTTATTTAAAATTTAAAGACAAGTAAAAGATTAGTTTTTAAATACAGTATATATATATTTTTAAAAGTTTCTAATATTCACCACCGTGTAATCAGTACTTTTCGCTGGGGGTGGGGGCTCTTCGGAAGCAACCATTGCATTTACCTCATATCTCCTGAGGTTTTGGCAAACTGCTAATGATGAAGGGCACTGTTTATAAGGCTGGAAAATAATAAGTCTATATATTATTTTTAGTATAATTGGTCAAACAATACTATATATGTTTTGTCTTTGATGCTTAACAACAACAATGGGGTGAATCTGAGCTTTTTTCAAAATATTGTACTGAACAAAGAAGGTACACATGCAGCAGCTGAGTGATTACATAAGGTTTTATATAACATTCTGCTCAGTATAGCAGTCCCTAACAATAATAAATCAATATCCCAAAAATACCATACTTGATATCCTCCTAATTTGGCAGATACAGGCAGGTTGGCTATATACAGTCGAAACTGCTGAAAACACCATCTGGTGAATCAATCACGTCTGTTTTTGAAGCAGCACAGTGCAGTCTGCGTGAAATTTCCAACCATTGTTTGGACTCTGCAGTGTTTACTCTTTCTGACTCTGTATTGTTCTTTTGTTTTTTTTTTATGTTTTATTATTTAGGTGATATGCTTCTAGCTTTCTGTTTATCCATGCTCGTGGGCCTGCTGCTGGGTGCTTTGGTGTACGTTCTGCTGACCTGGGCATCCAGGCGTCAGGCCACTGCCAAGATCACCAGACGTTCGAAAAAGAAAACACGCACCTCACAAACAAACAACCCCATGAGTGGCCTATACAGGAGCACATTCCTCAGCGTCTACAGACAGCCCTCTCTGGAGCCAGTGGGTCCTCTGGGAAGCATACCCAGTCCAGACACTTCAACCTTTAGGCCGCGGCCCAAGAGGAGCAGGGCTGGCGTGGAGATGAGCGAGGATACCCAGCTGGACATGACCGAGGACACAGCAGTTTCTAACTTATTGGATTCAGCGACACTGGTGCCCAACAAGAGACACTCCTTCTGGTTGGGGGGCAACGGACTTAAAGGATTCCTCCCCTCACAGACGCCTCCTCCTGCATACGACAGTGTCATCCATGCGTTTGAAGAGACTTGCACTTGAAACTGTCAACAAATGACAAAGAAGAACATTGTGGGATTACAACACACTCTCTATTTGATTAATTTCAAGAGTAATTTCCTTTAGTGTTTGGTAGAGTCCGTCTTTAGAAGGATGTAACCTACTACAAGCACAGGTGGATGCTTTTCATTAGTGACAATTAAAAAAAATCATTCCTAATGTAAACTATTAAATAATGGAAATCTATTCAGTACCATTGGTTTTCATCTGGCCTTCATTTAACAAGGTCCAGGCTCTGATGATGGAACAAATGTATTTAAAATACATATTTGTTAAATTGAAAATGATGAGGGAACTATAGCATCACAACACTTTTTAAGATCAACCAATTGTCAGAATCATAATTTAAATTTTAAAATGAACATTGTGATTTTTTGGTGGACCAAACCTTGGTGGTGAAAGGAAGCTTGGAATAACAGATATGGTGTAAAATACAGTGTTTCTAGATGTAATTATCTAACAACACAATAAAATAAAATATTATTTGATTCTCATGCCTTGGGTTATTGTGCAAAAATAATTTAAAACATTCAGTTTTCTTCTGGTTTCTGTGCAAAAATAATTTAAAACATTCAGTTTTAGTTTACCACAGCTGTATTATGAAATAGTTGTGAAATACGATTCCAGGCATTTAATTATAAGTTCTGTAACACGAATGTTGCATAATATCCATCACCTGAAGGTCTTCTATCAATAAAACACTTTATTGCAACGATAGAACGTCTCGTCTAAAGCTGCCAGGTTCTATACACAACAGCTTTGAGCTAAAAGAATTACTGCAGTGCAGCTTTCTCTAGACCTATGGGCAAACTCTGCATCAAAACGAAACACTTTCCGACCTAATTATATAATAACACATTATTACGGTTTATGGTCCGACGTTTAGTCGAGTCGTTGTTTATTGTCAAAATTAAGATTTGTCTATATTTTCCTGAATCCTGCTTAATGGCAACCCGTTTTATTTAATTTTTTTTTTTACGCCACAACCCTTTGAGTGCGCCAGCAGAGAGGAGCCTGGCAACACGACGACAGTGGCTGCAAGCTCTGTCTGTGGAGGAACTGCTTCTTAGAACCATGTCAGGTACGTGTCGATGACAAATACTTATAACTACAAATATATATATATATATAATATATATATATATTTTCTAATAAAGGGTTTTTTCTTTATTTTCCTGCTCTGATCAGCATCAGTAGCTCATTTTACATCACTGCTGATGCTGCTGATGCTGGAGCTGCATGCGTTGACTTAATGTGATGCATTTTTGTGAAAAGCATCTGCAGATTACAAGCAGATCAATTTAAGATTTTTTTGTTGTTGTTTTTATTTTTATAGAGTCACACTCAGACAAACGTTAAATACTATGATCTGCATTTTATTTGCCAAGATCTGCATCATGATAATTAAGATGCAGTCTGTGGGTTCACATCTCTGCCTTGGCCGCTCTGTCTGGTGTTTGACGTAAAGAGAGGAAGAACCGACAGAATCAGTACCCATGGAGACTGAGAGTGCCCTGATCTCTGATGCAGTGTTACTGTTGCATAGAGACGGCGGGGGGAAAAACTGTGAAATTCAAGGTTGATGCAGTGAACAACAAGGCATCTGTTCCAACATCTCAT